AAATGAAAGTCACAGAAATTCATGTATAAACTGTCTCCCAAATCAGAGATGAGAAGCTGTCTATTTTGTAAATAGTGAGGTTAAATCAAGATGCCTTTATTTAGTTTTTACATATTCTCCTGGCAAATTTTCTTACTGTAAGACATATTAATCTAAAATGATGATATTCACAGCCCTTTATATGCTCAGTCTTTGTTTTATGTCTCTATAATTTAGGCAGCCATTTTGTGTTCAGTAAAAAAATTAAAGAGGGGACATCCACTGTGGGCTTTCTCCTGGAGACTTTGCCTCTGGATTTTACTGTGTTATGGTTATTTTATTGCAGTGTCTGTCAGCCTGGCTGCAGCTGTCCTTGTCTTGAACACCAAACTGTGAATTCAGCCTCAACGGCCAGAGCACAAAACAAGCAGCAGCTTGTGTGATTCTGCATCCAGCATTCTTGCCTTGTACCTTCAACATGTCGGTCAGCTCTAAACATGGGCAACAGGGAGAAGGTGGAACGCAAGGTTTGGGGCATTCCAGCGTGCTGGACTGCATCCCACAGCCCATCCTCCCCTCCAAAACCCACTCACCACATCCTGATACTGAGGCCTTTCCCTTCCCTACCTTCCTGAAATTCCCAGAGCTATTAACTAGGTCACGGGAGCTGGTCCCAGTCCAGCAATTTGTCTAATTGCCTTTTTATACTGTATTGTGCAACTCTTTATTATCCTGTCAGAGTTCCCAACGTGGTATCAGAGGGGGCACAGGAGGCCGAGCTGGGATGAAGGGCACTGCTGTGCAGCCACTCATGGACAAGAGCTGAAAATAAGCTTGTGCATCACTCATGCTGTGGGGATGGCATCTGAAGGTGCTTTTGGCAGTGGCTGGGGGAAGGAGGACTGCTTCCCACTCCTGGGATCACCTCTCTAAGTACCCAGGTACATGTCCAGGGGGGCGGCTACTGCTCTGAGAGTGACTGCCTGAGCTGACTGCATGATGTCTGCTCCATGGGCAGAAGTGACCACGGAATCTTCTCAGGTCATTAGGCAGAAGGTGCCCCTCAGCTTTCTTGTTTCTGCAGCTGGCAGCTCTGCTGAAGATGCCCGGCAGCAGATTTTCAGGAATTATTATGGCATGAGTAAGGAAACTGAGCAGGAATCAGAGGGTTACACACCTGCATTCAGACACCCACACTTGTCGTGAATATTGCAAAGGAGGGTGAGAATGAACAAGCAGGATTTACAAGTCCCCCTTTTCACATGGTCACAATTTGCAGCCCAGTGTGTTTGTGGCAGTTCACAGCCCACCAAAAGCCCAGGTGAATCAAATCCTTTGGGGGTTGGGAGCTTGACTGAGCAATGAACCTGTCCTGCTCCCAAATAATCACACCTTCATGCAACTGGCATTGTGCTGTGCCACCCAGCAGCATGAAGAGGGGCTGGCAGTGAGGGCTGTAGAAAGCCCACCCACCCAGGATTGGCCTTCTCTGCTTCCCTTAAATGATTTTTGAGCACGAATAGGTCTTTTCCCTTAGTTTGTTAATCAGAAGACCCAGCCACAAATCCCACGAGCCTTCTCTGAAGAGATAAGGCAGTCGCTCCTCTGGCTGGATGTGGCGTTTCCTGGGGAGGATGAGGAGGTCTGGATAAGCTGTTCTCCGCAGAAGCAGGGCTGCACACCCCCAGGGCTGCTCGAGGGGGTACAGGAGACATCCATCCCGCTCTGGGGAGCGGCTGCGGAGAAAGCAGCTAGTGCCAGAGCCCCCCGGCGCCAGCTCTGGCAGAGGAGAGGCTGCTGCTCGCTCTTTAGCTTCGTCTGAAACGATTTGCAGCTCAAGCGCCCCTCTGAGAGCCGCTAACCTTTCGATGAGATTTGGCACCGTTGTCCTGCTTGGGTTAATTGGGAGTTAGAGAGAGTTCAGGAGTGACGCGGCTGCCTCCGTCTGTCGGTCCGTCCGTCCGTCCATCGATCCGCCCCTCCAACCTCCCACGCCTCGCTCAGCTCCCGCTCCCCGGCGCGCTGCAGGCAGGGATGGGGAGAGAAGCAGAGGTAAATGCCCCGACCCTTCTCTCCGTCTCTCCGGGCTCCGCTTTCCTCTCTTCGTCTCCCTCTTTTTCTCTGTGTGTCCCGTCCCCCGCTTTCTCCCCGATTTCAGCCGCCGGTAGAAGTTCGGAGTGGATTTTTTTTTTTCCCAGGTGCTACTGCAGAAAGTCTTTTTCTCCCTCTCCCGGAAAAGGGGCAGAAGCGAGCTGCCGTCCCAGGGGCTGGTTAGGGCGGCTCCGAGGTGCGTACCACCAGCGCGGGGGTGGGGGAGGCGTGTGTTGGCTCAGCTCCTGGCATTAAAACCGGGTGGGCACAGCGGCACCGCGGCATCCCCTGCTCCTGTATCCCTCGGACCTCGCCAGAACCTGAACTCCTTACCATCCTCTGCATCCCCCGGCAACTCTGCGCAACGCCCGCACCCCCCCCCTCTCAGTTTCCTACTCATCTCGGTGTCCGACGAGGCTCAGCAGACCCCTGGCGTTCTGTAGGGTGTCAGAGCGAGGGGTTCCCCGAGCAAAGAGGGGGCACAGCTGCGTCCAGCAGCGGGAAAAGAGACTCCCCCAACCCGATGGCATCCCTGGCCGGAGGAACGGCCCGAGCCCCCCGCGGAGGACGAGGGTCCCACGGCCCTCGCAGAGGAGTCCCTCCCCGGGGGCAGCCTCTCTGCACTGGCCCCGAGAAACTGGACTTACTTTCGAGATCCCTGTGGGGTTTTTTGTTTGGAGTTTTTGGTTGGTTTGTTGCTTTTTGGAGGGTTTTGTTTGGTTTTGGTGGGCTTGGGTTTGGTTGGGGTTTTTTTGTTGTTGTTGGGTTTTTTTATGTTGTTGGTTTGGGGTTTTGTTCGGGTTTAGATATTATTTTAAATTTAATATTTATTTACCTATTTATTTATTTATTTATTTGTCTTCGTTTGGGATTTTTTTCCCTAAGAGGTATCTACCCAGCCCGGCACATCCGTCACACTCTGGGTGCTCAACGAGCAACCGAAAGCCCGTCTCCTCCACCCTTGGCACGATCACAGAAAGACTGGGGTTGGAAGGGACCTTAAAGATCATTGAGATAGCTGAGACTCCCTTCCTCTCTCCAGTATCGAGGGGTGCTGGCTGGGGGTGCGGCGTCATGTCCGGCGGGGCCGTCTTAGGGCTCCCAGATGAGGTTTGGATGTGCTGGGGCAGGGGCGGAGATGTGTCAAGGCGATTTAAGGAAATATTCACGTACCAGACAGAGGTTTGGATGAATTTTCGTTCCTTCTTCCCTGATGCCTCTTGCAGCCTCCAGAAACAGGTCTTCTTCATGTCTTCTTTCACAAAAAACTCGTTTCAGGATGAATAAAATTAATAATAATAATAAAAAGAGAAAGAAATCGTTGGATTAATCCCTCGAGGTGTTCGTCGTAGCAGTCATTTTCCAGTGGTGGGAAGAGGTGAAACAGCAGTTGCAGTGACGGCCCGAGCCCAATGCATCCTCCTCTGGCCGATTTTAATTTTCCCTGCTTAAACCACAGCCCGTCGAGACGATGGTAAACTCGGGGCGAAGCGCTTCCCCGCTCGGCTTTCTCGACCTATTTGTGCACTGACATGTAATAATTCCTCCGCAAAGCCTCCTCTGCTACCATCCAAAAGCCCCATTTTTGCGGAGTTGGCTGTAGCAGTAGCTACCCCATCCTTGCACCGGGAGCCGGGAACAGCAGCCGAGACACCTCTTAGGGGTAAAGACCTCACTGGGGATATTTATTTGGGATGGGGGTTTTACGCCTTTCAGTCTCTTTGCACACAATTTTCTTTCAGATTCTGCCGGTGGGGGGAAACACAAAAAAAAGAAAAAAAAAGGTATTTAAGGAGGGTATTTAAGGTTTCTTTCCCTAGGAGTCGAGGAGGATTCGTTCCCCACCACTGCTCAGTGCCGCAGCCCACCTGCAACCGCAGCCCGAACGTTCCCTCTCTGCTCCCTCAACAACGATATTGGGAAATAATTTAATGCTGGCTTTTCCACTCATCTGTAATAAAACAATGCTCTTTTTTTACCTTCCAAAATAGCAAGCGAAACACAGATTCCAACCTCCCTCCCCCCGCCTTTTAAAGGACATATATATATATAAAATTTTATTTTTTTTAATAAAACAACGATTTAAGTGCTCCCTCGCCGCAGAGGGGACGTGCTCTCCGCACACCGCTCCAAAATGCCATTAGTCCCCCTGCCACCCTGCACTTGTCTGTGTCACAGCACAGCATCGGGATATCCCGTTGCCGTTGTTGGCTGTGTTGGCCGCTCATCTCGGAAAAATTCAAAATAAATAAAAAATCGTAAGGCTTTTGGCTGACAAAGGAGTATAAGCGCTTGGAAACAAAACTCAAATATTGGTATTTCATTTAAAGAAAGGAGAATCTCAGCATTAGCTGGGGGGGGACGGAGAGCTCTGCACTGAGCATCCTGCCGGGTGCCGGTGCAGTGCTGGTGCGGTGCCGCCCGGCTGAGGGCCCCGACCAGGAGCGGGGCCCCGTGTCCCGCCGGTTTTGGAGCTCATGGATCGCGGGAATCGTTACATCCAGCTGAGCTCTCGCTCCCTGTGCTCAAGCGGCCACGCACCGCTGTGCTCCCCGCGCAGGGTCCGCTGCCCAGGCCGCCCTCCGCCTCCGAAGGGGCCGCGTATTTTGGGGGGCAGAAAAAAGCAAAAGAAGGGAGTGCGAGGAGGAAAATCCCGTTAAGAACCGGTCAATAGACGCCTGTCCACCTCTTCAGCGGAGCTCTTTTGTTTCTCTGTGGGGAAGCGACTGGATGCCAGGGGCCTGCGGGCGGGTGCGGGGCGGGTGCGGGGCAGGTGCGGGACAGGGCGGGCAGCGCAGGGGCTGCGGAGCCGGGCGGAGATGGGGGGGGTCCGCGCTGCGGCGATGCTAGCGGGGCCCGGCGGGCGTGGGTGGGGCAGGAGAGGAGTGCGGGGGGGCTGGGCTTGGCCGGGGACGCTGGTACCTCCCCCAGAAATGCAGTAATTCTCTCCCCTCTCCTCTTCTCTCCGTGAGGTGGGCGCACTGCGATGGAAACGCAGCGCGCTCTACCAGGGGCTTGCGCTGCCCGTCTGGTGACATCCTCCGGCTGCTGACTGCCCCCCATCCTGCCCAGCTCGTCCCCCGACCCCACCGCGGGGCCCGGCGGAGCGGCGCGGAGCAGCGCGGAGCGGGCGGCGGAGCGTGCGGGCCCGCTCCCCCCGCAGCGGTGTCATGCCCCTGGGCACCCCGGCCGGGACCCGCCCGCACTGCGCCGGGACGCGAAGGTAGCGGCTCGGAGCAGCCACTCGCAGCCGCCCAAAGCCGGGCGCCCAGCTTCCGTCCGCCCCCCCCCGCCGCCCGCCCGCCCCGTCGGGATTTTCCCTTCCCTGAGAATCTGCGAGTAGTGGAGTCACCCGAGCCGCAGCCATGGCCACCCTCCTCCGCAGCAAGCTCTCCAACGTGGCCACCTCGGTGTCCCACAAATCGCAGGCGAAGATGAGCGGAATGTTCGCCAGGATGGGCTTCCAGGCAGCCACCGACGAGGAGGCGGTGGGGTTCGCCCACTGCGACGACCTGGACATGGAGCATCGGCAGGGGCTGCAAATGGACATCCTCAAGTCCGAGGGTGGAGAGGAGGGTGCAGAGACGCCCCTGGAGGGGGACATCCACTACCAGCGGGACGGCACCGGGCCCCTGCCGCCCTCCGCCTCCAAGGAGGCCTGCTCCGAGCTCTCTGGGCAGGGCAAGCCCAAGATCACCGCATGGGAGGCGGGATGGAACGTCACCAACGCCATCCAGGTACGGTACGGCCACCGCTGCGCCGCCACCGCCGCTGGGCACCGGGCAGTGCTCCCTTATCCTGATCCCAATCCCGCTCTGCGATCCGCGCCCGGCCGGCTGCTGCGGACTGATTGTAAACCTGCTTTAGGAGAAAGGGAAAGAAGGCGGAAAAGGGCATAGAAGGGGGAAAAAAATAGATGAAAGATAGAGATAAAAATGGTGGGGGAAAGGAAAGGAAAAGAAAGAAATATTAAAAAATAAAAGGAAACTAAAAGCCCCCAGCAGGGTTCTCTCCTTTGGCCCCCCCACCCCAGAGGAGGGCACAGTGCCAGAGAGGGGCCCGAGCCCCAGCCCCATCCCACTGTGGCTCCCACAGGGCTGGGGCTGGCCGGTGTCCCCATCAGGTTACCCCAGCACATGGGCTAGGCGGACAGGGGGGATAGGGAGCCCAGGGGGTGACCAGGCTGGTGGCAGGATTGCACCAGGGTGGGCCTGGTCTGGTGCCTCCAGAGGTCCCCAGCTATGAGGGTCTTGGTGCACTGAGAGGGGCTGGCGACAGAGAAGGTAGAGACGGGTGGCAAAGCTTGGGCGCTGAAACACTCACTATTTCTGGGTGCTGCGGTGTGAGATCATGCAGATGTGCAGGTGTGACTGTGGGGGTAGCACGTCAGCGAGGGAGGGTGGTGCATCACTGTGTGTGGCTGTGGCTGCGTGGCGTGGTTGTGTGATCAACTGCGTGGGTGTGATGGTGGTGCCAGTGAGGCAGCGAGAGCACATGTGACTGTGATGATGCAGCTGCATGTACTCGGCTGCAGGCGTGGGCCTGGTCCCCTCCACCACTGAGCAACACGGTTTCCATTTTGTCTCTTTCTAGGGGATGTTTGTTTTGGGCCTGCCCTATGCCATCCTTCATGGTGGATACCTAGGACTCTTTTTAATAATTTTTGCCGCAGTGGTTTGCTGCTACACTGGGAAAATCCTTATTGCCTGTCTTTATGAAGAGAATGAGGATGGGGAGATAGTCAGGGTGAGAGACTCCTACGTGGACATCGCAAACGCATGCTGCGCGCCTCGCTTCCCCACCCTTGGGGGCAGAATTGTGAACGTGGCTCAGATCATTGAACTGGTCATGACCTGCATCCTCTATGTGGTGGTCAGTGGGAATCTGATGTACAACAGCTTCCCCAACCTGCCCGTCTCCCAGAAATCATGGTCCATCATTGCCACGGCAGTGCTCCTGCCTTGTGCATTCTTGAAGAACCTCAAGGCAGTCTCCAAGTTCAGCTTGCTCTGCACATTAGCCCACTTTGTCATCAACATCTTGGTGATTGCCTACTGCCTCTCCAGGGCACGCGACTGGGCCTGGGACAAAGTCAAGTTTTACATTGATGTAAAGAAATTTCCCATCTCTATTGGCATCATTGTCTTCAGCTACACCTCTCAGATCTTTCTGCCTTCCTTGGAGGGGAACATGCAGAACCCCAAGGAGTTTCATTGCATGATGAACTGGACTCACATAGCAGCTTGCATCCTTAAGGGACTCTTTGCCTTGGTCGCCTACCTGACATGGGCTGATGAGACCAAGGAGGTCATTACAGACAACTTGCCATCTACCATTAGGGCAGTAGTCAACATTTTCTTGGTGGCCAAAGCCTTGCTCTCATATCCCTTGCCATTCTTCGCAGCTGTGGAAGTCCTGGAGCGGTCCCTTTTCCAAGATGGAAACAGGGCTTTCTTCCCCAACTGCTACGGGGGTGATGGGCGGCTCAAATCCTGGGGACTCACCCTCAGGTGTGCCCTGGTAGTTTTCACCCTGCTCATGGCTATCTATGTCCCCCATTTTGCCCTCCTGATGGGTCTTACTGGAAGCCTGACAGGCGCAGGGCTCTGTTTCCTGCTCCCCAGTCTTTTCCATCTCAAACTCTTGTGGAGGAAGCTCTTGTGGCACCATGTCTTCTTTGATGTTGCCATTTTTGTTATAGGTGGTATCTGCAGTGTCTCTGGGTTCATCCACTCTTTAGAAGGCCTCATAGAGGCCTTCAGAACCAATGCTGAAGACTAAGGAGGGGCCAGAGTTGGTGCAGTAAGAGAATCGCATCGAACATCCGCATAGCCAAATAATTCTGCATCCTTTTAATGGAAAGAGTCATTATTTTCGTTATGTGCATCCAAAAAATTCTATATCATAGAATCTGCAAATTAAAGGAAATAAGACGAAAGTGCTCACCCTGATGTCTTTTTAAATAAGCTCAGATTTAAATATATTTTTTTGTTATTTAGATTTTTTTAGAAGAAAATTATCTGGTGCCCCACTCCTATCTCCTCACTCGTTGCCTGAAGCTTGGCCCCCCACAAATGGCCGGTTGGGAAACAGTTGCAGTTTTCAATACTCCTTACAGATATGCAATTCAGTGTTTCAGGAGCTGAAACACAGGTGCCAATCCCATGGGATTGAGTCACTGCGCTCACAAACGGAAGCAAACCCATCGTGGGTGCTGGGAGCAGGGACCTTCATTTTACACTTGGTGAGATGGATGTAGATGAGACCCAGATTGTATGACCAGCCCAACAAGCCCAAGCAGCAGCTGACGACCAGCAACGCCAATTACCTGCAATGTTTACACCGTTGTCACATAGGTGTCAGGACTGCTTAATTCTTCCATCCAAACCCATACCGAGGAATGGAGCTTCCCATCGACTATAATATGTTGCCTCTGGTTGAAATCGCAGCCCTGGAGTCCACTTCTCAGTGACTTTTGTTTTGTTTTATTTTAACAATTGTTATTTCTAAATTATGAAAAGCTAAAAAAAAATACATATTGTTGGATTTGACGTCGTTTCAGGATACAGAACAAAACTATGACACAATTCATTCTGTGCAATCTACCAGATCCGTGGAGCTGTTTCCAATGTATGTGTGGTGTCATTGTGGTAAATAAGATGAAAAATGTATATCAGAAAAAAAAATCTATCTTTAACATATAATGTGGTACATAAATATATCGAAAAATAAAGAGAAAACATAGATGATGAGGCTGGCCTGTTTCGTAGGGGGCTTGGAGGAGCGGGGTAGGGACAGAGGGACGTTCATCCTTCCCCCATCGGGAGTACTACACATTCTCGGGGTAAGGTCGGGGCAGCGCCGAGTTGTTATCGACAGTGGGATTAAGCTGTTTGCAAGAGGTAGGACACTTATATTTCGGGAAAGGGTCGACTTACAGCTGGGGGGGGGGCTGCTTTCACCCCTCAGCCCAGCTTTGCTTTACCCTGTAGTGGTCAGACTCCAGGGATGGATGGAATTTGCAGATGTACCCCGAGGTTTTTCTCTGAATAAGGGAAAGAAAACCCCGTCGCAAACAAAGGGAGAGAAATAAACGAAATAAAGGGCTGTAGGTACCCCTGGCTTGAACCAAACTCACCGAACCCTGCCCAGGGGTGCGGAGCATGGGGTTGATCCCCCACGGGGGCTGTTTTTCCCGCAGCGGGGATTAGCCCCGCAGTCCACACCTGTGATCGAAAACGCCTCGATTTACAGCGATTTAAAAGCTACAACAACTAATTGTCCGCCCGCTGCCGCTGCACAGCGAGGATGAGGATGGGGGGACCCACCGCCAGCGTTCCCGTAGCACAGGCACAGCTGAGATCCCCGCGGAGCTCCTATTATTGCCCTCAAATCACGCCGAGCGCCGGGAGGGACTGAGGTGTTCCCCCATTTCCCCCGCCCGATCCGGTAGCAATGGGCAGCTCCGCAATGCGGTACCGGGGGTGGGAGGGGGGTGTTGGCACGAGCCGGGAAAGGGGCTGCGGGCAGGAGGGTGGGATATCCCTGCCTGCCCGGAGGAAAACGCATTTCGGGCGGTTTCCCGGGCAGCCTCCGAAAGCAAAGAACAGGGGAGCTGTGGAGTCTATTCCGTCTGGGGTCAGGGACATGTGGCGCCGTGGCTGGGTGAGTGTGGGGGGGGCATCGTAGTGGGGCGCCTGCCCCCCGGATTAGCCGCATTTCCCTCCATGCGGTGCCCATTCCTGGGGATATCCATCTATGTCCTATCTCCATTCTCAGCCTTATCTCCATCCATATCCCCATCATCTGCATCCTCACCCCATCCCAGTCCTCATCATTTTCATCCTCATCACCACTACCCCCATCCCGATGCAGGTGACCCCTGATTACCGCCCCGCCGCAGGCACCGTCAGCCCGATCCGACTCCCGCGGCCGCCCCCCGCCCCATTCCCGCTTCCAGCCCGGGGCCACCGCGGCGGCGCAGCGCCCTCGCCCGACGGCGCGCCCGGCCCGGAGCCACCGCATCCACCCGCCGGGATACGGGATGCGCCCGGCCCGAAGCCACCGCATCCACCCGCCCGGGATGAGGAGAGCCAGTCGGGCTGGGGAGCTGGGTGAGGGGCTTCCCTTCAGCTGTGCCAGCTGTTTCTTCTTCTGCCCTGAGGTATCTGTTCCAGCTCTGTTTTCTCCTCAGGGACCAGCGTGGGAGGAGATCCAGCCCACCTCCCTGCCCTGTGCAGGGCTGAGAGTATCGGATCCTGGGAGTCAGTGGAGAGCTGAGGAACCCTGGCAGATTAACACTCCTCTGCACATCTGTGGTTTGCATTTGTTCTGCACGCAGTGGTTAGAGGGTCTTTTTCTCTCTGTGTTCCGCACTGGAGAAGCAAAGGGACGCAGCCAGGCTGGCTGCCATGCCATACCATGCCATGCCACGCCACAGCAGCACAGCAGCTGGCTCTCCTCTCCTGCTGGCAGCTGCTTGTGTCTGAATACAGGATGCTCACAGACTAACCTGTCACGGTCTTTGTGTTTTACAGGGGCCAAATGTTCTCTGTTTCAGGACACATGATGATGGAAACCGTTTTATGAAGCTTTAACTTTTCAGAGGTCTTAAACCTAATTCAGCAACTTCCTTTCCCTGCGCCCCTGTCCCTTGTCCCTGAGAGCAGAGCCCGACCCCCCCCCCCCCCCCCCCCCCCCCCCCGCGAACAGAAATGGCTCCTGCTTTGACTATATTTGGGGCTGTTAAGAAGATTTGTGCCCTTTTTGTGACAATGGGGGAAAAGTCAGGGCTTCGTGCTCCTGTGCCTCAGGGTGCAGACCAGGGAAGCGCGAGTAGAGTGTGCCCTCAGTCCCTGCAAGGGCACCTCAAATCCCTGAGTCCTTCCTAGACACGGTCCCCGACAAGCCCCGCTTCCAGGGAGTGGAGATACCCCCGGCTGGAGGAACTCAGCGAGGCATTTATGCCTCGCCCGCGATGCCTGGCAGCCGGCTGTGCGGCTCCCAGGGATGACAGAGCATCTCAGCGTCTGGCTCGCTCCAGTTTTCATCTGTGGTGGAGCCAGCGATTACCCAGAGAGCCCCAATGAGCTTTGTCTCGCTGTCAGCTCTGCTCAAGCGCTTCCCTCTGTATTCCTGCCGGGTGCCGACGGGCGCTCCCGGCTGACGTGCGACGAGCTTGCGAAACGAGCCCGCTCAGCAAGCCGAGCGATAAGACGAGGCTTTGTCCTCTAAACTTGTCCGTGGCTGGAGCCAGCGTGGCTGTTGGTGCAACCCTTGTGACTTGGGCTCGGAACATGGGCAGCCCCTCCAGCCTGCCGCAGCAGACATTTTGATGCTGTGCTGGTGGCAGTGGGAGCGTGCGTGGGCGCTGTGGGACATGTACAGCCCTTACAGCAGGGGCTGCAGTGGAGTGAAGAAAATAACCCCCAAAATAGCAGCAGGTTTAACTTGGACAAAGCAGAAATCTTCTGAAAAGCCAGCACGATGGCAAAGTCTGATCTCTGTTCCAAATGGCTTTTGTCTGCAGCTTCATAGCTTCTGGTCATGTGCTGTAGCAATCCTCTAAATCTTCTCACTCTGAAAACCAGACAAAGGCCCTCTCTGCACTAGCAGGGAACAGATTTATTTTTCTCTCTCTCTTTACGGTTCCTCAAATACAATAGGGACCTCTGTTTGGGCTTGTTCCCTTGAGACATAAGGGTAATACCAAATCTCTGTTATCCTCATGCACCCACACAGCCGTGCCACCCAAACTGAACTGTTGGTGGGAGCTGGGGCGAGATGAGGGCTGAGCTCACTCCTCCCCACATGCTGCTGCTGGTGCTGGAGCTCACAGGGGGCAGGTATGGCTCTGCCTTCTTCCCACACATATGGGGCCAGAGACATTGGCTGCAGTGGCAACTGGATGTCTTGGCCTTGTGAATTTTGAATGCTTCATATCACATATTCCAGAGTCTTTCAGAAAATGCTGGATGGTGACACCGATGTTCTCCACCATCTGATTTTATGTATCTTTGAAGCTTGTAGGTAAGGAGATGGAGTCTTTGCCAGTGACTCCACCAACATGTTCAACCATCAGACTCTTATTTGGGCCCCCACATAGGGATGTGGTGACCACTTGTTCTCTCCTTGCCCCTGCAGAGGGGCAAGGTGAGAACCAGGGAGTAAATGGGGGCGGGCGCAAATGGAGGGCAGTAGATTCTGGCTCCAAGAGGGGTCCTCTGGCCTCAGTTCTGATGTGCCCATGGGGCTCAGTCCTTGACAGCTGCTCAGGTGGTTGTTCCTGTGTACATGTGGCCCAGGATGGGGAGCATGGAGCCAGAGGGGAGTCACACAAGAAGCAGAAGGAGCATTGTAGGACTGTTGCACCTCACAACCCAAGCACATAAGGCCCTGGATGGCCTGCCCTGGACACAGTGCTGCTGGAGGACAAGGCTCCACCTCACCCCACTCCTTCCCGGCTGGGAAGCTCCATGGATTGGTGGTGTGTTGGCAACAGGCCATATCCACATCCAGGAGGTCTTGCAGGCATTTGGGAGGTGATACATGTCTCATTACCTCTGCTAGGACCCAGCATGTGACCTGGCACAGCCTCCAGCAAACAGAGCACTTTGTTCTGACCCTTTGCACTTCCCTGCCAGCGAGCTGCCCTCTAATCCCCCCAAGGAGGGATTTTCCTCTCCCCCCCCAGCTCCCTGTGCCTCAGTCCCCTTTGAGAGAGGTCCAGGGTAATCATTTACTGCCTGCCACAAGCCACTCCTTCGGACTTTTTCTTCGACCTTCAGGCTGAATTGCCAAAATAAAAACAACGGGAAGAAGAGCAGTACATGCTGCTTCCCACAGTGGGAGTGTGGCAGTGCCTGTCTGCCCTGCTGCTGGATCCCAGGAGCCCTGTTCCCCACACCTCACTCTCTGCAGGTAATGCCCATTTGCTTTCTCTGGGATGACTGAGACTTTTCCTTCCTCTGATGAGTTCTTGAACTCTTTTGGGAGAAGCAGAAGTTTTTGTGAAGGACTTCGCCCTTGCTGCCAAGAAACCTGGCTGGCTTGTGGGAGAGCTGCTGCTTGGGGCCAGCAGCTGGAAGTGGTGGAGGGTTGATTTCCAGCAGTGGGGTGGTTTCCCAGCTGTGGAGAAATCCAGAGAGAAGACAAGCAGCCTTCTTGCTCCTCCTGCAATATTGTACTAGGTGAAAAGATTTCTGGCATTAACTGTGCCTCCCCCAGGAAACTTTAATCGCAAGGAGCTTCCATCACCCTGCTTGTCCATGCAGCCCTACATCAGCTCACCTGGGTAAGGTCCACGGGGAGCACCCATGAGTGTTTCTGACCAAGGTGATTTCAAGAGCTGGCAGATCAGCAGAGGTAGCTGGTGACTGACTGTGTGTCCCCATGTCCCTGAGCCACCTGCACAGGGAAAGGAGCTTTGGGCCTGCACAGGCATTTGCAACCAGCACTAGAAGGGTGAGGTTTGCTCCAGATATTTCAGGTTGTGTTGGCTGTGGTGTCCCAGGCTGCGTGAGTCTCTGGGGCTGGGCCTGGTGAAGCTCAGGGGTGCTGTGTCCAGCAGCCTTCTAACAGGGCATTCCCAAACCCCCCGCTGGCAGGACAGGGAGGGCTGTTCCTGCTGGATGCCAGAGCAGGGGAACAGAGACAGACTCAGCAGATTTCAGCACAGCTTTGCTGCTCTTGTAGAGGGGCTCATGGGCTTGACTTAAACTGGGCTGTCCACCAGACCCAGTACACACAGCTCTGCTGGAGACAGTCTCCAGCAGTTGCTTCCCAGAATTTGCATGTGGATAAAAAGGGGTGAAAATGGGTCCTATGGCGAGGAGATGGAGGTGGCCACTCCCAGGAATGGCAATGGGATTGGGGCAGAGCAGGGGAGAGGGGTGTTCCCAGGAATGCTGCACCCACAAGCTTTTCTAATGAACCCATTGCTGTGTCAGAGGGGCCTGGTTTTGGGCAGTGCAGCTCCCCGAGCTGTCTCCAGGCTGCTAAGCCCTGCTCAGTCAAGCCAGAAAACTGCCTCTCTGCCCTTGGCCCCCCAGGCTGGTCACATTCAGGGCTTGAAGTATGACTGGTGGCCCTGAGTGTGTGCCCTGCATCAGACTGACCTGTGCTGCAGAGGAAAAGAGGTGCTCACCCCAAAAAACAGAATTGAGGGTTTGTGGGTTTTTTTTAAGAAAGGCTCTAAAGCACAAGCTGTAATGTGTCCTGAAGTGCTGCTGGGGAGGAGAGGAGAGGGCAACAAGTAGGAGTTGCACCTTCCCCAGGGACAAGGCTGGCCAGCAACCTTACAGTCAGGTTGCTTCCAACTGCATATAATTTATTCACTGAGACGATGCCTACACTTAAAAGGCACTTAGGAACAAAAAAGTCCCAGCCAATTAATTTAATGGCAATAATAAACTCCAGAATTTATTCCTCAGAAGATGTAAAGGCTTTACAAGAGATCAGTAATATTCTGATGTGTTAATATTTGTAGAAGCAGAGGGACAGAATGTTGCAAGAGTTGCTCAAACCCACTTTAGCTGTCTTTTGGAATAAAAACCTGATCCCCAGTAGTCTCCTCTTGGTTCCTTTCTCCAAAACATGGGAAACATCCCAGCACCCTTGTGGGATTTGCTAGCAAAATCAAAGGCAAAACATGAGGCAAAGCCTGGGTTTTTTGAAGCTGAAAGAAAAATATAGAGAGCAGGAAAAAGAATGAAATAGTTTAAAGACCTGCAGTGGTCACCAATAGTCTATTTAGTCTTTAATGAATCATCCTTAAAATAAAGAAATAGGCTCTGAGCTTTTAAAGAACATCCTATCTCTGTTCTATCCTATCCCATTCCATACTATCCTATGCTAGCCCTTACCCAGCAGAGGTAACTGAGTAGCCAAACATTTTAGGTCACCTTTCACTGCAGGTCCATGGAAACTTGCTTTGTGCACTCTAGACAAATATTTGTTTTAGTTTTACCTGAACCTTCCCTGCAATTCTGATTGCTCAGGACTGTGTGGTTCCTCTTCAGTGATACTTTTATGATTGTGGTTATGGATATTACTAGATAGGGAAATTAGGATTACCTTTCCCTGTAAAATAGCACATAAAATGTTATAAGAGAGAGAGAGGGAGGTATTTCTCTGTGGGTAGAGACAATGGGCTGGGCCTGTTGTCCACTGGACATGTCCTGCCCTGGAGAAGCTGCAAATGTGGCAGGGTGAGTGGCACCAGCCAGGGATGGTCCCAGTGGGAGGACCAAACTCAGCCAGGGAAGGACCATGCAGCCCTTGACCCCTTACAGGGCTTGGAGAAGCATGCCCTGTCAGGAGATGTGCATAGAAGGGGTTAAATTGCCTGAAAGCTGCTCCTCACCTCTGAACTCAGGTCCATCAGAGGTTTTCCTGGCACTACATGTTCTCTGAGGGCAGGGAAAGAGCAGCCTGGCACAGAAGACCAACAACACTCACAAAACCCAGCTCTTACATCAACAGATCTCCAGTTTCATTAGAATTATTTAATTTTGTTTAGGAGCATGCAAGTTCTGGGCAGGGGAATGGGCCAAGGCCAGTCTTGCTGTAAGGGGACACGGTCATGCCAGTAGCACCTGCAGGGACACGTGCCTGTGTGATGTGTGTGACCTGCAAACACTCTCACATCCAGCAGCTCCTTCAGCATGACACTGACATGGGCAAGGGGCAGTGTTGGGTGAGGGGTGAGAGCTGCTGCAGGATGTGGCTGGCTGTGGGCACACAAGGCAGGAAAAGGGGAAAAGTTTTATCTCTTAGACACGGGGAGGGCTGTCCACATGGGCTGGAATCTGTTCACATCTACCTGTCCCCCTCCTGTCCGCCATCATGGGGACAACTGTTTGCCCAGGATACCACTACAGGGAAAGTTACAGGGCTCTGCAGGGTAAAGCCCTTTGCAGATTCTCCAGGAATCTGGTGGCATCTGATGTTGAATTCCCAGGTGGGGACCTGCACTACACTGGGGAATTTCCTGGTTGGCCCCGTGCCCCTGTGCTTCCAGAGAATGTCTTCTCCTGTGACAGGGAACCACCGGTGTCAGGGCAGTCACGCTGGGTACAGGGAGAATTAATTTGGTCTTAACTCCTCATCAAAACCCAAATCCTTTCCTAAGAGCAGAAACGTGTGAATTTAACAGTTTTAGTGTAAATTTCTTCTGTTGTAAAGAAGCCAAACAGCCAACCAGTACCACCTAGCTCTCTTCCACTGCTCTCCATCTGCCAGTCCCAAAGAAATTTGCCACTGAAGCAGTGGCAGAGCACCCTTGGTGATCTCCACCAGACTGACTGGTGGGTGGATGCTGGCCACCAGGGAGCTGTCCTGGTGTCCTAGAGCTGGTGAGCAGCCAGTGCTGCACCTCAGGGCTTGTTTCTGCTCTTACTCCTGTGCCCTTCACATTTGCAGGAGGAGAAACATCCCCGTGCTCTGCTTCCCGAGGACACCCTGTGCCGGCAGCTGAGCTCCTGCCTCTGTTCCGGCTGGCTTATGTTTGTGGCCTGGATGGAGCCCTCCTCCACTGCTCTGGGCAAGACAAAGGGTAATGCTTCTGGCTGGTACGGTGTCACTAAGCCCTGGGGACGGATAGGGCATGGAGAAGGCTTCCCCATGGAGGTCTCCTACTAGCGTTGGGCTGCGGAGCAGCTGGCAGAGGGCACAGCCCTGTTGTATATCTTCCTGGTGGACTCCACTTGGGCTCACGTCACAGCCCTTTGCCAGGGCTCACCCTGTCCAGCAAAGACTGTGTGAAGCCCAGCTCCCATGGGACATGCAGGGAATCCAGGAGGTGTTTGTGTGCAATGGAAGCAGCTTTGCATCACATGCCTGGCTCTGAGTGACACCCAGTGCATGCACAGCCCTTGAGGGTCAGTGACCCTCACAGACAGCACAGGTAGGATGGAAAAAACCAACCCAACATCACTTTGCCTGCCAGTATCTGTCACCAGATTAGGTATTTTATGCATTTTAGCTGTAAAAACTTTTCCTTAGAGGATTCTTCCGCTTCCTCTTCTTTGTATAGAAAACGAGTTTTTAATTAAAGATGTTTTTTTCCATGGAAAAGAAAATCAAGTAGATTTTATTGATGACACCAAGATTTTCATGAAAGAAACAAAAGCAGAAGACACTGACTAGAAAATGTAAGTTAGCTGATGAAAGTATTCTCAAACTTGACCATTTCACTTCAAGTGGAGGCAAAACTGGAGAAAAGAAAAACATATTAGGAGACACTCTTGAAAGCTGATAATGCTGATAGCTTGAGGGTGTTGGCTAAGCAAAAAAATCAGGCTTCAACCTGAGAGAGAACAATATTTCAAGCAAAATGCTGCTTCCCCTCCCTCATTACACATGGTAACAAGCACATAACCTATTCCAGATGATTTCTTCCTAGTAGCTGTAGTCTGGCATGAGGGATCTGTCCCATGGTGGCCAGCCCCTCTGCTTCCCTCAGGGAATTCTGCCCACACCCCTGCCTTTACCTCCTTGCACCCACCACTGAACTCACTCTATAGGCCACTTTTCTACAGGGAGATTTTACAGGAAACTACAACTGAAGCAAAAAGCGACTGCTTTATTTTTAATGAAGAGAGAGAAGACAGCCCTTCTTCCAGATCTCCTTTTGCTTAGTCTCTGCTGTCTCAAATCACCATGCTTCCCCTCCTCAGGTGTTTATGTTTGCAGTTAATACCATCCTTGCTGCCCTGGCTGCAGCCACACAGGACACTGGAAGGAGCAGCATCTTCTGGGTTTGACCTGAGTCAAATTACAGTTTTGACCTTCCTCCAAACTACAGGACAGTGGACAGATTTCAAGCTTACTAACATGTAAAAAATTATTCAGAATACATCCTGCCTGCCAGGACGTAATTTGCTCCTGCTCAGCACCTGCACCTCTCCCTCCCCATCCGAAACTATCCCTCCCACCTAAATTCTCACTCCTTGGGTATAGCTGGCAAGTATCTCTTCATCTTTTGCAGCTGGTCAGCTTTTCCTGCTTGCTTTAAAGGGCTGCTGGGAAGCAGCAGTAGTGGTATGGCCATACTGAGGATCTGAGGGTGACTGTGTTCAGGGGCTAAATGGACTGCTGCAGGAAAAAAGGCCTATTCCCATCTGGGTTTTAAGAAAGAGCCGTGGGCTCCTGGTCTGCCAGGGCAATCTGGGTGGGCTGATACAAAGATGGGAAGTATGGGAAATGAGAGGTCTCAGCACTCACTGGTTGTGAACTGCTTTGCATGCTTCAGGACTCAGCCTCCACTGGTAGATGTGCTCCCAGGTATGTTTGATGCTTTGTTTTTTATTTTCACGGGATTATTTTTTGCAAAGTGCTGCAAGCTTTAGCCACCTGCTGTTTTCTTTAAGTTTTGCATGTAGTTTTCCTCAAAAATCGGGAGAGTTGTTTGTCAGTGGGCTCCAGCTTGCCCAGAGCCAGGGCTGCTTGGCTGGGTTCCTGCACTGGTTTGCAGTGTCCCTGGGGTGTAGGGAAGAGGATCTGTAAGAGAAAATTGGGCAACCCAGGAGCTTTGCAGAGGATGGCTGAGAGCTTCCTTGAGTGCAGAAAAGTGCTTTCAGGTCTTTCCTAACCTGCTCCTGGACTTGCTGTGTACAACTATAGTGTCTCAATGGGAATGAAAGTGGAGTAAAATGGTGGCTTGCAGCTATCTCTTAGATCTGTGGCAGGGGAAAACTTGAGCCTTTTTTTCTCCCCAGCAAAAGCATGTGTTTGCAGGAATCGCCCTTCTGTGCTCCTTCTCTGAGATGAAACTGGGGCATCTCCCCCCTTTAGCTGCAAGCAGCCCCTGTGCTGGGTGGAAGCTGTGGCCTGCCTTAGGTGACTCTCCAAACTCTATGCTTCCTCCAAAACATCACCTGCTGTCCCAGTGACAGCTTGCCACACCTCCTTGCCTCTCCGTGCTGGCAGCCAGCCCTTCCCAGAGCGAGAGGGGATGAGGTACTTGCTTGGAGGGGTTTGCAATCTGGGTTAGGTAGGGAAAGCTGCCGAGAGCAGTGCCATCCGGGAGGAGGGTGGGAGGCAGCTCACAGATGACGAATCTGTGAGGTTGCCTCTCTGTACAAGGTACGCGTTGCATTAGTAATGTGTTTGTAGCAAATAATGCTGGGCTAGCATGGGAATGTGGGTCACCACTGCCAGAACTGTGCAAGGGAGAGGGAGCTGCTCGTGCCGTGCTGGGAAGAAAACGTATGTTGCTGAGGGATGTGTGGTGGGGGGAGACATAGGTGCAGTAACTGCTCCAACTTGTAAGTAGCAGCTCTGTGTTGTGTGAGTGGGTTCCTGCTGCCTGGGGGATTGCTCTGGCCAGGAGTTGGGGGTCTTTGAGGAGGGGAGAGTGGGGGGCAGGAGTTTGTGTTCCTGGTGTGGAATAGTCACATCATATTGGGGGAACTCCTGGACTTGCTTGCTGATGCTCTCTGTGGCCCTGGCTATGCCTGGAGCATTCCTGCTGCACCAGCAGGCACAAGGAGGGATGCAGCCGGGCATGTATAACCAAAGATTCCAGTGTATTTTCGTGACCTATTTCTTGTTCTGTTGTTCAGTGTGTGTGCGCTCAGGAAATCCTTGTGCTTTAAGGGGAGTAGGGTTTACTAGTGATCAGGAAAAGCCTACTTGACTGCTTCAGAGATTTAGACCACAAACTAACCTGGCTTTGAAGGTGAACCTCGGTTGGGAAAGGTGGCTCTGAACTCTCTGAATAGAAAGTGATATGGGATGGGGATATACATAAACTAAAAAATGTGCATGGTACTTCAGTGCACAGGCTCTAGTCTCAGAGTAAGTCCATTTAATGAACACGCTTTGTTGGAAAATGCTGCCTTTGGTCAGCAGGGACTTGTTGAGTGGCTTTATTTCCAGCAAAGAAGCAGTGGAGCAGAACGGGACTAATGGAAGGAAGCATGCACAGGCTGCCAGGCTGGAAGAGGTTCTTGCCTACTTGCAGGCTGTGGAGACCTTGATAGAACTGGCTTGTCCAAGCCCCTTGGAGCAAGTCAGAAACTTGTATTGGTAATAAGTACCTCCAAGGCAGATTGATATTTTTTTTTTTTTTTCCATGGCTTGGCTGTGTGGTCTCCAAGATACCCAAGCTGAGACATCTCCATCTGTGTCTGAGTCAGTATTTTCCCTGGAGTCTAGGGTAGGAACAGTGGCAGCAAGCTAACCCTGGATCCAAACCCAAGTTTGTGGGGGCTCAGATTAGGAGGAAACGGGCTGTATCATCTGATGAATGGCAGCGATGCGTGGAGGGAGAGTGAAGTTATAGGTTGGGTTGCTCTGGTAAGAGGCTCCTGAGCAGGTGATGGGAGCCTTCACTCCTCTACCTATTGCTGCCAGTGCAGCTTGAGGCTTGTCCACACACATCTGTGTACCCCGGCCATTCTCTGTGCCAACCTTCTCCCTGGCCCTGAACCTTGAGTGAGTGTTGCCTGCTCTAAACACAGCAGTGCTGATGTCCCTCTGCTGTGGCCATGATATCTGACCAGGCTGGCTCGCAGACTCTGGGAGAGGTGCACCCTGAGGCAGGTGTTTGATGACCTTCAGCAGACCTCGGTAAGTCGGAGGAGAGTCAGACTGTCAGGGAAAGAAGGACTATGCCCAGTGGGAGGAAATGGGCCTTGATCTGTCTGGGTGCTGCCTGCATCTTGTCCCTGCTTGTGGATGCCAGCTGAGACAGGCTCTTTTATCTGCTGCAGGACAAAGTACAGACAAGGTCAGGGGCTTAGACCAGCCTGGTGTTGTAAACTCTCTCACTGCATGATTTGTGGGTTTTGCTTTAAGTTCCTGCTTTTCCTTTCTTATCCATTTGGAAACTCTAAACCCACAGCTTAGTTTTTTGGCTCCTTATCAGAGCTGCACCCAGATCCCAGACCTGCTTTTGGGGTCAGTTCAGTGGCTCTCGGTAGCACACAGATCCCTCTGCCTAGCAGACCCAAAGACCCATGCAGGAAGGGTTCTGCAATGGGCTTGTGTTTGCCTCAAAACTTGTCCTACAAACTCTTTGCCCAGGGGAAGAGTCTCTGGTGGTTGATGCTGCTGATTCCTCGGTCTGTTGAGGAGCTATTCCAAGATGACAACTTACCTGAGACTATAAACCCCCTTCTTTTTAGAGGGACAGGGCAGTGTATGTTTCTGTGAATATTTTGAGTCTTCCTTTCCCTCTAGTGACAGAACTAAGCAAAACAAGGAAATCCTCTGTACAGGTTGCACTTCTTGGGCATCTCTCTGGCTCAGCCTGTGCAGCAGGGAGCAGGCTTGGGACTGCCTCTCCGTGAAGGGAGAGGTGATGAAGATAATGAGTGGTGGCAACCACCCACATGGCTGAGGAGCAGGGATGCTCCCTGATGGGAATCCCCGCTTCTGGCACTGGCTACGTGTCCTTGGGCAGGTCACTCACTGTGATGGTGTGTGTGCTGGCTTACCTCCTGCAGGGCTCTGAAAGGTTTCATTCATGTCCCTAATTACTTGCAGAGTCCTGAATGAAAGGGACAGTGGATGTGCCAAGTATGTGACATATCCCAATACAACATCTTCCTTGTGGGAACTCTCCTTGTTCCTTTCCCCCCCCCCCCCCCGGGACCCAGGAGTGGCTCAGGAGGGCTTGACAGTGGTGCTCTAGCCTGAGTCCCCTGTGCTGTGGGAGGCAGTGTCCATTTTGTGGCACTTATCCCTGTCCTGTGAGCTATTGAGGGCTCCTGGTGGGGCCGGGAGGAAAGATGTCCTGGTTCCTATAATTTCCTGGTTATTTTCGTATGTGAGTGGAAGGGGGAGGAGGGCGGCTGTGGAGAGAAGAGCAAGGTCAGTGAAGAACAAATGTGCCTCTGTGCACTTGTGATCACACTGCCAGCTAATCGGCTTCGGTGCTCCAACTTTCCTCACAGAACTCATCAAGCACGGCCGGGAGAGGATAGGGCAAACCATCAAGGCCTCCGGCTCCAGGCTCTGCTCATAGTGAGTATAAAATACTCCCAGTGGGATGAGAGCCCTTTAACAGCTCAGCCCGATAACCCCTGTGCTGGCTGAGTGGTGAATGGAGCTGGCTGGCACCGGGCAGATATGGGCAGTGCTCAGGGACAGCCGCCAGCATCCACTGCTGCCTGGCATCTCCTGCCATGGGTAGCCTGGCTGCGCAGGAGGGGGGCTTGGGGATGATTGGCGGTCTGTGCCTGCTGGCGTGTGGGGGCACAGAGAGGGAACGCCCACAGGTGAGATGTGGGGAGGCTGGTGGGTTCTTTGGGCCCCCTCTTTGGGAGTGGTAGGACAGAGGGTGGCTGTGGGGATGAGAGCCTTCAGAGCTTCCCTGCAGTGTATGAGGGCTTGGTGGGGCTGAGTGGGAGTCAGCTCTCTGGGGCAGGGGAGAAGGGAACAGAGCTGCTTGTTTTGTTTGTTATCTCCTTAATTCTAACTTTTGAAAGGAGCATGGGGGAATCCTCTAAACCAAAGGGGGGGAATCCCTAGGGTGGGGGGACCCACCCATCCCCAGTGATGCCTGATCAGGGCAGATCTGAACCACCAAGTGCTGGAGTCCAGGTTTTCCAACCCCAGCAGTAGTTGCACTAGGTAGATAAGTCCCGTGCTCACAGAGCCAGCCCCGGCTGCCATGCTGAGCTCCTCTTCCCTGCAGAGTCAACAGCCCCGAGCTGCCCTGTCTGACCTGGCCTAGGGGGAATGGCCTCTGACAGGTGCCATCCTGATGGCATGTGGTGGTTGGACCCAGCTGGACTCTCCTGGCTGCCCTGTGGGGGCACTCACTGGGTTGCAGGGCTGGGTGCTGCAGCATCACTGTGCAGTGGGGTGGGGGCTGCACCTGCCTCAAGAGGGGTCTGGCCACGGCTAGGAGGGCTGTGACTTCACCTGGCCCTGCTGGGCTGTGCTGGTCCTCACATGTTGATGTTCTGACCGGTTTCTGCTATTTCAAGTCAAGGGCTAACCGTGGTATTTATATGCTTGTGCATCCATGAACCTTTTTTCCCTAATCTGCTCCCAGTGTTCACTGCCTCCCCTGGAGTGTGTACACCCCCATCCCTTGGGGGGTAGCAGTGCTACCAAGGGAGTAGCTGGGGAACTCAGCTGAGCCCTCCTATGATGGAGAGGTGCACATACCAGGGTCTGTGCTGCTCCCTGGCAAGTTAATGATGTGAAGATGTTTCTCTCTTGGATTTTGTTTTGAACACTAGCTTGCTCTTCTTTTTCCAAGTGCTGAACGAGTTGCTTTTTTAATGGATCGTTCCCGGAGCCCAGACAAAAGCACCCAGGTGAGATCAGGGCTCTGAACCAGCAAATCCTCACTTCTGGGACAAAAGGGGCTGGTGTCTTTAGATGAAAAACAAGCAGGAGAGCCTGTGTTAGCCTGTTGGAAGTCTTACTGCTGCTCTGTCCTTGTGGGTGATGCTGGGTGGAAAAAAAGAAGAGCAGAGAGGACGTATATAGCCTTTTGGACAAGACATAATGCTCCCAGAGTCTGGGGAGGGGAAGATTCCTGGGGAGGAGGAAGAGCATGTGTGTCTGTACTCCTTGTCATTGGGAAGAGGGAGGAGGTAGTTCCACGGAGCTGTATGTGTATAAGGCCACCTAAAGTGGCCTTAGTTAAAAGTTTGCCAAAACGAGCACTGTGTCTCTTGCTGATGGGTGTTTCTCAATGGCTCAGTGTGAGGGGATGCTGTACTGAGGAAGAGAAAGCACAGCCTGCAGCATGGTCCTTGTGACTAACATTATTGTTGTCTTCTCTAGCCTTCAACACCAACTGACAACATCAACCTTGGACCTTCTGCTAACCCCAAGTAAGCTTCCTGCAAAGCCAGGTAGGGTGTGGAGTGTGAAGAGGTCTGGCAGGGGAATGCAGATGGTCTCTGTTTCTCACGTGTGTGGTGCCTGCAAAAGTCCTAACAACTACATTACTTGGCCTTTAACACTATGTGTGTTACCAGTGCACCAGCTTTCAAGACATTAAGCTGTAGCTGGTCCTTGTTATCATAATCATCCTCTCCTGTCCATATCTGCAGCCCCTTGTCCCATCTCTCTTGAGAGACAGTGAGGGAAGATCTTCTTTGTAACTGCTGGCTCCCTGACTATCTTTCTCTAGAAAAAGTGTCCCCTCTAAAGGTGTCACTTGTTCTTGACAGGTGCTTTCACCTGCTGCTGTGTTCAGCATGTGGGTTGCTGAGGGATTGCTCATGCTGTGCTGGGTCCACTGACATACACAGTGCGAATCCCGAGGTGACTGGGAGCAAGGGTCACCCAGCCAGTGCCCTTTAATCCCTTTCACAAACACTCATCTTTCCAAGCAGGAACTCTGCTTTGATGGTAGTGTTGCTGTTGCCTGTTTCTCTCCCAGAAACATTAACTTATTTCATTCTTGTCTAACAGTGCCAAGCCAACAGACTTTGACTTTCTGAAGGTTATTGGCAAAGGAAGCTTTGGAAAAGTAAGTGGGTTTTTACAGGTGGGCTGTAGCGTGGAAAGCAAATATCTTGCTAAAGAAGTTTCTAGCTGTGTCCTTTGCATGTCTCATGAGGTGTTTGGCCTGAGTATGGCTGAGATTAGGTAAGCCCTGAGATAGGGTTTTCATAGTCCATTCTTACTCTGAGCTGTCCTGCCATCTCTTTAAGGACTGAAGTGTGAGGTGCTTTATGCTCAGGGTGCTGATGATAAGGAGCAGTGCTTGATTCAAAATGAGCTTCAGACTTCTTCAGGTAGCAAAAGAACTCCAGACAAACCTGAACCTGGGAGACAGCCTGGATCCCCTTTAAATGGAACTGTCTCCCCAAATGCTCCAAACTGTTTTCTTTTGAGTGTCTAAGTGATGTATGTGGAGGTGTTGCATGCTTTTTTTCTGGCAATGAGAAAGTGATGAGAATTCACAGGTCTGGAACTGTCTTTAAAACTTTGTACCTGACCCTCTGGAGTAGTATAATCACGCACAAGACTATTGAGCTAATGAGGAAACACTAACCAAAAGGCAGAAGGTGAGGCTGAAACCCGTAACCAGGACCTTGTGTTGCAGGTTCTCCTGGCCAAACGCAAGTGTGATGGGACTTTTTATGCAGTGAAAGTCTTGCATAAGAAAACCATCCTCAAGAAAAAGGAGGTATGTTTGCTTTCCTTGGCTATTTCTGCAAATAGTGGTCAGTGTATGAGCTATCCTGCCAATGCAATTGGGGTACCTGGTGGCTGTCATTCATGTAGGCAATTTGCATGTTAGACATGGATTTCTCTGTGCTATGGGAACAGGAAGAACAGAGATTAAATGGGTCAGATAGCAGGGAGTGATTCCCTTTCTGGGGCTAGAAATGACTCTCTTTGGCTAGCAACCTCCACCCATTTTGAAAACAGCAGAGAGCCCCTATGACAGGCTGGGCTGGACCCTTGCCTGAAACCCTAATGCCTTGTCTGCTTCTTGATAGCAAAATCACATCATGGCGGAACGAAATGTGTTGCTGAAAAATGTCAAGCACCCCTTCCTTGTGGGACTCCATTACTCCTTCCAGACCTCGGAGAAGCTTTACTTTGTGCTTGACTATGTAAATGGAGGAGAGGTGAGTGTACTTAGAGGCTTCCTTTTTGGTCCTTCTCAAACATGCTGCTTTATTGCCTAAAACTGTTTCTTGTCAGAAGATAATCATGTTGAGGTATAATGCTGCTTTGACCGCCAGAAAGGAGCAGCCAGGAACACCTGGCATTACCTCATCTGTAAGTTGAGTGAAGATCTTGCTGGCTAGGACCTGAGCCAGATGATTCCTAAAGCAAGGATGCTGAGAAAAGTATGCGTTAGGGGTGTTTTAAAATCCTATGGAGAATACAGGAAATACTGATGCTAGTGAGCTTTAGGCAAAACCCACCTGTGGGCCAGCTCTGGATCTATGTCACCCAAGTGTGCTTGGGTGATGTCAGCACACTTTTATAGAATTTTTCTGAGCTGTAGAAGCTCACTTTCTTCCAGCTGTCTTTCTGTACTATCTGAAACTGGCTGTGATATATTGGTAACGTGGATTTATTGCCCAAATAGAGTTTATGCTGGGGATCTTGTGTTCAGATCTAGGCATGTATCACTTCTTGTGGCTAGGCTACCAGTAGTATGTGAGCTGTACTAAGCTAGGAGCTTAACTAGATCAGCAGATGATGTTTTTCAGAGAATTAATTATTTATTTTGGGGAATGAAGAGTAGAACAAAGGGAGCAATTTATAGGAAGGTGTTTGGGCTGCTTAAAGGGGCTTGGTTTGGGCTCATTTGGTGTTATTTGTGTGCTACTTGCTGCAAAGACATTTTCACTTGAGTAGCTGGCTTTCAGCCTTGCTCCAGATAGCCTTCAGTTATTTAGAAAAATGACCAACCCTCTCATCTGGCTGTAGCTCTTCTTCCACTTGCAAAGGGAGCGCTGTTTCCGTGAACCCCGGGCCCGGTTCTATGCTGCAGAAGTTGCCAGTGCAATTGGGTACTTGCATTCCTTAAACATCATTTACAGGTAAGACACGTGTCCTGCTGGGGAGGGCAGGGCCACCAAGTGTGCCCAGCAAGGTTGTGTCAGTGTTGGGGAGGGAAAGGGCTTCACTGGGGCCCTGCAATATATTCAGGACTGAAACTGCTGAAGAATTTCCTACCCCAGACAATACTGACTAAGTGCTGCTGGCACTTACACTTTCAAGAGAGATCCTGTCTGTGCAGGGCCTGGTGGGCAATATATACTCTCAGACTGATAGTGGGAAAGAGAGAATGTTTAAGTGTAAAAATATAAAAACTCCTGGCTCAATAAGAGAGAAATCATTGCTCCATAACAATTTATGCACAGAAATCCAGGCTAACACCTGATCCTGTATGTCAGTAGCCTTTCAACGTTTGCATGTGTGTATGTTGATGGGAATCTGCACTTCAAGAAGGTCTGGACTGGGAGGCTTTGTTAGCTCCTTTTCTTAGCTGATGCCATTTCAGATTCATGTTTTCTAAGTATCTGACCAAATCTGCTCAAACAGCACCTTTTGTCTTGCAGAGACTTAAAACCTGAGAACATTCTCCTGGATTGCCAGGTATATTCACAGCTTGGGCTACTTTCCTTCTGTCTTTAAAAGCATCAGGACTATAAACAGAGGGCTGTGGTTCTGCAAGCTGGGCTATAACTCACATCGTGGCATGGATTTTGTATGTCTGCCCCACTGCACTTCTGTGCAGATCCTGCAAGGGGGATTGAGCCTGCCCTCTGCAGAACTGCACACACTGTGGGACTGGGCTCATTCCCAAAAGCTGGGACCTGACTTCTGGGCAGGGATCAGGGATGTGAAGAACAGGTCCCTGCTGCTACTCTGGGGGTGAGCACTATTAAACAATATGTGGGATAAAGCAGCAGCAAAGTACAGAAGTGCTGGATCTCTTCATAGTTATCCAGTTGTAGACAAATAAAACAAAAAAAAAAATCCAGACTGTACTTTCTCTATAGGCTCCTGTACTTGTGCTATAGGATGTCCATAGGGGAGGGAGCGGAGAGAGATGAGCGGTGGGGAACTAAAACCCCCCGTGAGATGCAGTGTGAAGGCAAATACTTGGAAACCCCGTCTCCTCTCCAGGAAGAGTGAGCCAGGCTGAAACTTCTCTCTTCTTTAGGGACACATAGTATTGACAGACTTCGGACTGTGCAAAGAAGGAATGGAGCAAGAGGAGACAACTTCTACATTTTGTGGCACTCCTGAGGTACAGCATATGCTGGGGCTTTGCTGTGACTTGCTGCTCTGAGTCTTGGGCTCATGTAGCATCTCAAAATATGGACTCTAAATTAGACCGCCTTGGGCTCTTTGAGGTTGTTGGCCTGAAACTGGAGTTCAAGTAAGGCCTTCCCTACTCATCAGAGATCATTTTATCTGTAACAGCTAAACTCTGACATTGCTGTGCTATCAAGGACAGGGATCCCTGCACTCGGAAATGGCCAGACTTGTGAAACTGCAGCTGTTTCAGGTATCTGTGGAGGCAACCTTGACCCTGGGAGCCTGTGAGCAGGCTGTTTACCTGCTCCAATACCCTGGAGCTGCAAAACAGGGAGCCTGCTGCTGCTGACATGCACCCGACCTTGCTGTGCTCTCCTATGTGTACTTGGTATGCATGAGTTGCAAAATGCCCTGTGCAGAGGAGAGGACCAGGCTCCCCTCTGGAATGTGAACATTGCTCAGAAGGGAAAAAATGTCTTTTCTCCAATGTCCCCCAACCAGGTTTTGTGAAAACCTGTTTCCAGTTTGGCTTCTTGGAGGCTTTTTTCCTTCTTCTTACTGAGCTGAGGATTTTGGTAGCACTTCAGCCTAGGTAATACACCTGTCCTGCTGCTCTTCCTAGACAACTTGAAGGAGGGTTTGTGAACAGCACACCTTCCAGTTTTCAAGCTCAGCAGAAGTGGGCAGGAAATTGCCTCTTATGCAATAGCACAGCATGAACCAAGCAGGAATGTTTGAGCTTAGTTTTCTAGTTTTCATGTGTGTTGGTGTCTTCCTGTTCTAGACAAAACCTGATAGTACATAGAGATAATTCTGTGGGAGGCTGTTTATTCTGCAGACTGCTCAAATTCTTGCCTGTTGCCCCTTGGTGGTGGTTATTGGTAGTTTTGCTGTTTTGGACAGTCTTGTCGGGACTGAAAACAGCAGCTTTTTCAAAACCACATGAGCCTCTTAGGGATGTGATGTGTCAGTGCGGGACAGGTTTGCTGGTTGAATTGTGATGGGTGGCAAATCCTTGTACAAGTCCTCTATAGCAAGAAAACCTTCAGTAGCCTGGAAGAACACTGGGGGCTGCACCTGTGTGCTTCCTAATGCGTTTGCTCAGCTTGAGCCGCAGCCAGATTTGTGACTTACAAGGGCAAAGCCCTTCTTTATAGCTTGACTCAAATGTTTGCTTCTGACTTCCCAGTACCTGGCTCCTGAGGTGCTAAAGAAGCAACCCTATGACAGGACAGTAGACTGGTGGTGTCTAGGAGCTGTCCTCTATGAAATGCTGTTCGGACTGGTAAGTTTAGAAATGGTCTCTTTTACTTTACATGGTAGAGAACTTATTTTCAAAAGCTGTGGTGTGAGGTTGGTCTGGTGTTCACATGGTACCTGATAGATGACTAAATCCTGAATTAGATGACCTGGTTTAATCATACCATTGTACTTTTGAGCAGAGACGTGTCAGGTCTCCCTCGTCTACTCACAGCAGGTGTCATTTTTGATCTGCAATGTGTGGTTCCTTATGGTAGCTCATGTTTTACCTGGCTGCTTCTCCTCTCTTTCAAATCAGCCTCCTTTTTACAGCCGGGATGTGTCTCAGATGTATGACAACATTCTGCACAAGCCACTCCAGATCCAAGGAACCAAGACGGTAGCAGCTTGTGACATCCTCCAGGGACTCCTCCACAAGGAGCAGAAGAGGAGGCTGGGTGCCAAAACAGACTTTGTAGGTGGCCTCCACTATGATCAGGAAGGAGAATAGATGGGAAAGCTTTCTATTCTGAGCCTTTCTTTTATGATAACGCCACTGCCTTGGATAAAGCTTTCCACGCAGTGTGTCCCTCCAGCCTCCTAAAAGGGGCATATGAGGTTGTCTTGGATTTCCAGAGGGAAAGGTGTGGTGGCAAGCTAGGGATACCAATGTGTGATGGGTCATTTCCCTTCAAGGGATTACTGGACCGTGACCCTCATGTATTAAGGATTTGTGGGCATGGGTATGTGGTAGCTCCAAGTCTTGCTTCAACTCTTTAATGCTGTGAGACCAGCTGGCAGGTGCTGGAAAAGGAGGGTTGGCAGAAGTCTAACATTTCCCTCTGCTTTCTATGCAGCTTGAGATAAAGAACCATGTATTCTTCAGCCCAATAAACTGGGATGATTTGTACCACAAGAGGATTACCCCTCCATTCAACCCCAATGTGGTAAGTGGGTGTTTGTTTTTTTATATACAGGAGTACAAAAGTGACCCTCTGTAGATGCCTTATGCTGACACTGAGGGTTCTGAGGTGTGGACTAGGAACTATAAATGCAGTGCTGATGGCTCTTCTGGAAGAGCAGCTATGTTGGACTGTCTGAACACAAGGGGCTGGGTTCTGTTCACTCAAAATGACAGTGTGTCTCTACTCCTTGGCTTAGGCTGGTCCAGCTGATTTGCGACACTTTGATCCAGAGTTCACCCAAGAAGCAATCTCTGCCTCCATCACCCACACACCTGACCTAGCAGCCAGCAACTCCAGTGCCTCAGATGCATTTTTAGGATTTTCTTATGCACCAACTGAAGAAGACATCTAAGTTTTACAAAGGCTTTGAGAAGCCAGATTTTAAATGAATAGGTTTTATGGGGGTTTTTTTGGTTTTGACTGGGTTTTTGGTTTGTTTGTTTGTTTGTTTTCTGTTTGGTTTTTTGAGAGGATTTTGTCCTTTGCTCATGGCTTAAGGAAATTGGGACTAACACACTAACTGGCTGGGGTGGAACAGAGCTCAACTTTTGCTGTTTGGTGGATTTCCCCCAAATATTTCCCTGCCAGGACTGTTTCCCTGGCAGAGAAAGTGGGACACTGATTATGGTTTTCCCCCTGAGTGTCTTGTACTACTTGGCAGAATTGTATTCACCCTGTGGTTGTATTTATGGTTGAGGTATGTGCCATCATTCACATCAACAGCCATGTCCCTGTAACTGGCCACCTTTTCCCCCTTTGTTTTTCTTTTTTGTTTTTGCTGGGGAGCTGTGCCCAGCTCTGTCCAACTGCTTTCCCCACCTACTCAATTGAGAAGGGAATTCTTCACACAACCATGAATATTGGCTTCCTTCCTTTAAGTAGACTGTGTCACTTAAGCCACTCATCCTGGGCTGAACTGGGCTGAGGGAAAACTGTTCACCAATTGTTGCTCCAAAGGCAGCTGCAGGTCTGCGAATCCTGAACTGCACTGGGGCCTTTGATGCCAGCCAGTCTCTCCCCAGGGTGAGTGAATCATCTCTCTGGGTGAATTAGGATGCTGCTGAAGCACTAAGGAGGCTGTTATGGAGTAGCCAATGTGTGGGAGGAATGTCCCAGATCAAAGGGGTGGGGAAGAGGCTGAATTGCTTGGAAAAATAACTCTATGGCTGAACCCTGCTTGGGGTGGGGGGTGTCTTTCACAGCATGTGCTTGACTTGCCCATGACACACCAACACAACTGTGAGGAGCACGTGGAGTACAGGATAGTGCACAGCAAAGGGTGGCCAGCAGTGCTGCTCCAGGCTCCAGTACTCATCTGAAAACACCCATCACTGATGTAGAACAGTTATTTATTCTGCCTTAATTTAAATGCTGGTGTATTCATTGAATGTCGCTTCCCACTTTTTCTTTTTTAAGCTGTTTTATTTTGTTGCTGTGGGGAAAAGAGGGGGATCTTAGAGCTTCCACTGTAACCCAGGGATAAACAAGGGACTTTCTGCAAGTTGTGTGGTGCTGTTCATGCTATGGGGAAGCTTGTGCTGGAACATTTTTTTTTTTAATTGGACTTTATCTTATGTATGCTGAAGTCATCTAGAATATGACATGGTTTATATTAAAGTGCAAACACTGATGTGCGTCCATATGGCTGTCCTGGAGGTGTGAAGGGGGAGGGAGCAGGGTGGGAGGGTGGTTGGTCTATGCTGTGTGTGAGAGCACTTACCTGCATGCATAAAGTCACTAAAACTGCTGGTTTTAAGTTTAAAGAGGAGGAAATAGGTTAATCATAGAATCATATGATGGTGTGGGTTGGAAGGAGCCTTCAAGCCCCTCTAGACCAGGTTGCTCTAAGCCCTGTCCTGCCTGGCTTTGAACACTCCCAGGGATGGGGCAGCCACAGCTTCTCTGGGTAACCTGTGCTAGGGCCTCACCACCCTTACAGGGAAGAACCTGCAGGCTCAGGACCGGGATTTTGATTTTACTGGTATCCAAGGCCCAGAAAGCTGCGGCGGCTGAAGGGTGGCAGTTTCCTGTGGGGTCACGGGCCTGCCCTGGGCGCTGACAGGGCCGGTGCGGAGGGCTCGGGCAGAAGGAGAGCGGACAGGCAGCTCCCCACCGCAGCCCACCGCACTGGTCCCGTCCCACCCCTTTCCCAGGCGGGGAAAAGAGGGAAGCCCTGAGGCGACCTTTGCACTCGCGCGGAGGGGGGCGGAGAGATGCGCGCATGCGCCCGCCGGGCGCGTTGCTACGGGAGGAGCGCGGGTGGTGCCGCCGCGTCCCGCTGGGGACACGGCGGGACACCTCGGAGAACCCCGGGCGCTGAGGATTCCCCGCTCCCCCCCGGAGCTGGAGCCCTTCGGTAGCCCCCGGGGAGCCTATGGAGAGCGGCCCGCGCAATGCCATAGTGTTCAACGCGTCCAAGGGGGAGAGCTTCACGCCGGCCGGCGGCTACAAGGCCTTGCGGAAGAGGCTGCGCGGGAACTGGAAGGTGCTGAGGTGAGGGGCGGCTATGAGGGGACAGACAGACCTCCACGGGTGTGTGTGGCCCGCGTTGAGTGCCCGAATAGTCTTTGGGGACCGTAGAATCGTAGAACGGTATGGGTTGGAAGGGACCTTGAAGATCATCTTGTTCCGACCCCCTGCCATGGACAGGGACACCTTCCACTGGACCAGGTTGTTCAGAGCCCTGGCCAATCCCATCCTTCATGGGATGTATCTCATGAGCTAAGGTCGCTCTCTTGCATTAATTGCTCTGTGGTATCAGCTGTTCTGTCGCTGTGGGATGCTGAGCGCGGTTCTTTGGAGCTTCCAGCTGCCTTGCCTGTGGAAGAGATAGAGTGTAAGTTAAAAGGTTGAAACTCATCATACAGGTTTTTGAGTCTGTCTGGGTTTGGAGTTTGGGGGGGTAAAAGAAAGCCTTTATGCAGATGATATTGTTTACTTGTTTGCTACAAAATGGCGTCAAACTGTTTAGGAGGGGGTTAGGCTGGATATCAGGAAAAGGTTCTTCCCCCATAGGGTGGTTGGGCCCTGAACAGGATCCCCTAAACAGTGGTCACGGCACCAAGGCTGCCAGAGCTCAAGGAGTGTTTGGACAACACTCTCAGGGACATAGTGGGATTGTTGGGGTGTCCTGTGCGGGGCCAGGAGCTGGACTTGATGATCCTTGTGGGTCCCTTCCTGCTTGGGATATTCTGTGATTGTATGAAATGTACCCAGAGCAAAAAGAAGAAAAAGAATGAAAAAGAACAAAAGGAAGCTCCTTAGGTGCAAAGTTTAATAGCAGCTGTGACAGTTTATAGCAGTTCTGGATCTGCCACAGTACCTTGTTAGAGGAGCTTTACTGTTTAGTTGGTTGACAATTGTAAGGATTGTTTTTGCTCATGCTGTCAACTTTAAACCCAGATGAAAGGATATGAAGTGACTGATGTGATTTGCTTTGTGTTTGTTTGCCAGTCCTTTAAGAAACAAAAGAAAAAAGTTGTGTTTCCAAACTGTATCCAAGAATAGCATGTGCCTTTTTTAATCTATTCATAGCTTAAAAGATGAGATCACATCAGAGAAACTGTTTGGAGTAAAACTGTGGATTACAGCAGGGCCAAGAGAGAAGTTCAGTGCTGATGAGGTAGGACATCAATAACTGTTTTCAAATTAATTTTGGTTTAAGATTTGCTTAAATAGAAAAGAACAACACAGAAGACTGCAGTTGTACTGCTTTAGATGAATTTACACAAGTTGAAATTTGAATATTTTTCTCACAGGATCAAGTTAATTGCAAACAGTCAGAATCCTTTACCTTCCCTCGTCTCACTATAACTTCTTGCAGTCTTGTGTGTATCTTCTTTCATGTGTTTGGTTTGTTTTTTTTTCCTGGATCTTTGTTGTCTTCTAGTTTTCCGTTCTGAAGAAATTCCTGGAGGATGGTGGAGCCATCCTGGTGATGCTCAGGGAAGGTGGAGAGTCCCGTAATGGCACAAATATTAACTTCTTGTTAGAAGAATATGGGATCATATTCAATAATGGTAATGGGGCTTACTGAGAGCTTTTATTCATCTGTTTTCAGCAAAATCTAAAGAACAGGTTTAGACTTTGTAGATACAAGCCAAGAAAATCCCTCATACAAAGTATCCCTTGGTCTAAAAGATGTTTTTTCTTTAAATTTGCATGTACCTGGCAGGGTGATACTGGAGCATACTGAGAGCTTTCCATGGGCGGAGTACATGGATAGCAACTGAGCCATTTCCATTCCTTTGCTGTAGTTGTTAGCATTAATGGTATTTACTAACAAAAATTAATTCTAGTGATATTTCTTGATTAAAAAGCCTTTCATTTAAGACATTTCCCACCCATTTTAATGAATTGAATCACTTCATCCTCACCCTGAACAAAGAGTGGCACTTTTCTTTAGCAGACCAATAAAATGTCATTCAGTGTGGAAAAAAAAAAAAAACAACCAACTGACCTAAGTCAACTGTATCTCAGTGTATCTAAAATATTTTTAGGGTCTTTGGTGGCTTTTCTAAACAATACCTTTTTTTGTATCAACAGGATTTAATTCATCCTGGTTTGGAAGATAGACTAAAAAAATAGAATTTGAAGTTGTAAAACTTGTTAAATGCTGTTTTAACTGGATCATCCTTTTGCCTCTTCTGCTTTGCAGAAAGTGGAGATGGGCTTATTTTCTCATATTATTTATCAGTGAAGGCTGATTTGAATTCTTTTGGGAACCAAATGCCAGCTTTGTGGTGCTGGAAGCAAACACCCAGGGAATCCAAGAGCTAAACTAATTTTTCTGCTATGTCGAGTATACTCATCAGCTCAGATGTAAATTTCTATGTTTCTTCTTTCTTCAAGATGTTGTAGTACGAAATGTATATTATAAGTACCACCACCCAAAAGAAGCACTAATTTCTGATGGAGTTTTGAACAGGTAAATATTTGGAGTATATAAATCTTTACAGTAAACTCTTGTAATCTGTATTCTTTTCAGTAAGTTTTGCTTTTCAACATCTTGCAGGGGAATCTGTGAAGCTGCAAGAAAAACAGTGCTTGAGACAACAGATGAAGATGGAAGCGGGCATGACTCACAGTAAGTGTTTTTCTGTGAGGAAACTGATGTGAAAATTTGTAGAATAACTCAGAATTAGCAAGTTTGTGATTAGCAGCAGTTTGTTGTGCTTGTGTTGAGGTTCTCTAATGCATTTCTTATGCCAGCTTCTTAGGTTATATCTGGAAAGGAGAATCTGTTTAGTACTGCTTGATAACCACTGAAGGAGCAGGAGTGACAGTTTTGGACAGAAATTCTCTCATGATCCAATCTTTTTTGCCCCTAGTCTGTCAGTTTGAATTTGATTAAGAAATGTAAATATGAATAACCTGTAGATAGCAGGTGGTCTGGCTGCAGGCATAGCAAGGCTTCATCTTTTTAAAGAATCTTAATCCAGGGTAAGATAAAGAAGTGAAAAGGCATTGAGAAGAACACATCTTTTCCATAAATAATTGTAAATGTTTGTATTCTTCCTTGTGGCTAGTTTTTAGACTAAGAAATGACCACGTGGTTGATTACAAGGGAAAGTGGAAGTGTACAAAATTTTATCTAGTTTTGTTCCAAAATATATATCAATCTGTGAGTTAGATACCCCTCCTCTTCTCTCAGGTGCAGGAGCGTGCAAACAGAAATCAAGAGTGTTCTTTGTTCCTTATTTAAGACTATTCTTTAACCTGGAGAAACCTAGAGAGAGAGACTGAAATGTGGTTACAAGGATCTGCATGTTGGAAGCAAGACTTTGGCTTTCCACCACCAGTGCACAATTGCAGTTTGCACTTTGAGTTTTATACATATGTCCAGCCTGCCTTATACTTGCAGGTACTTAGGGAGTTTCTGTATTTCCTCCAGTGCTCTCACTTTTGTGTATCCTTTTGGAGCCACACTGAATGTGATGAAACCAGCAGTGGCAATTCTGTCAACAGGATCCATCTGCTTCCCACTCAACAGGCCTATTCTGGCTTTCTATCAGCATGAGGTAGGATTCTGCCTGTGACATGCCCTGCATTCCACCCACAAAAATTGGGAGTGTGTCCTCTGGGAGTACTTACAAACCCACGTCTATCTTTTGATGCATCTGCAAACTTTAGATGAGCCAATGACTCCTGCCTCTTTTTATGGTAAACTCCTTTGCATGGGGCTCAGAGTAGAATTAATTTGATGGTCAGCAAAGATTACATATTTTTTGGTTGACAGATGGATATATTTAGTTCTTCATTGAAGTTTGGGGTTTTTTCCTACCCTTTTAGTGATAATTTATTAAGACTATCATTAGCTCTGTAAGTACACCATACCGAATTAATTACTGTCACCTTGGAACCAGTAGATTTTTCATGTGTTATCTTACTCATCCAGGCCTGTTACTTCATAAAAATAAATTCAGAAATCTAGTAATAGTGGATAAGTACAAACAAAGGATTGATATTGTTAGCGAATGTGAACAAATTAACACATTTCTTACTATGGAGGTGAATTTCTTGTGGTTTTCTGATATCTTTGTTAGGAAGGGGATTTTTTTCTTCCTTGAGGATGCCCAACTTCATCCCCCCCTATTGTGGCTGAAATGAACTGTGTAAATCAAAGCCAATACAGCAGCAT